ATATCTGCCAATGGGGTCAGAAAAATAAACTGAATTCAAAGGGAAAACGAGATTGACAGATATTTGCACAAGACGAAATATCTAACTCAAGTAAATGTTTCTTAAAGGGGTCATATGATGTTGCTTAAAAGAACATTATTTTGTGTATTTGGTGTAATGAAATGTGTTTATGCGGTTTAAGGTTCAAAAAACACATTATTTTCCACATACTGTACATTATTGTTTCTCCTCTATGCCCCGCCTTTCTGAAACGCGTCGATTTTTACAAAGCTCATCGGTCTGAAAAGCGAGGTGTGCTGTGATTGGCCAGCTATCCAGTGCGTTGTGATTGGCTGAATACCTCAAGCGTGTGACGGAAATGTTATGTCCCTTACCATATTGTGATGATGCCCTGTCAGGCCGGAGCGATGATTCAAAAACATGAAAACCCATTATAAACGAGGCATTCGTTGCATCCAGTGGGGACATAATTATGGATTATAATGACTTATACTGTCTTTTTACGCGTTGCGTTGCATCGCGCCGCGTAAACATAAAACCATGTCTGCATTTGTGATCGGAGAAATGACAAACAACAAGCGCTACTCTACACTGCCCAAAAAACTCGCTTTAAATATAAAAAATATAAAAACTCTTTAACTATAAAAAACGTACTTACAGTCTTTGAGTCAGAACAGCCGGCATTGTAGTCTACTCTCCCAGGATCAGTAAACAGTCCTTCATAAAATGTGCTGCACACATCTGAATATTTGGTTTGAACTGTTCTGGAATATTGTTGTAAATACAACTTAACCACTGATTTCTAGTCGTGTCCATTTTTGGAAGGCCAAACAAAGTAGTTTCGCTTTCACAACGAAACACAGCGTCACACACGGTGGCCTAGAGTGAGCGGCGGCGGCCTAGAGTGAGGAACGGCCGGAGGGCTAGAGTGAGCAGAGGTGGCGGGATTGAGAACTGCGCTGCCGGCGGATTCGACGAAGGAGGCTTGCGGCAACCACATGTGACGACCCCAGGCTGGACTCCGCTTCGTCCACGGTGAAAGCCGATCCGGCGATCCACAGCACAAAGTTGTTGTATTTCCTCAGCAACCAGCACGGATCAGCTCCAGGCATGACGAAGCGGATATCGTCCTCTTTTGGAAGGCCAAACAAAGTAGTTTCGCTTTCACAATGAAACACACAGCGCCTTCACGACATGGCGGCGGCAACAACAATACTACAGCGAGAATAAAAGTTACGCCTTCTTTCTTTGCGTGAACATTTGGGCAAAGATAGTGACGCCTAGACCTAGACTATGGCCCAGATGGTGACGTAGGTATGTGGGGGTGTGTTAGAACGAGCCGTTTTAGGTAGGCGTGGCTGACTCTTAAATTTTATAAAGAATATCTCTTTGGATTTGAGACTTTAGTCTTTGCAACTTTACAGATCTTCTTTATGCACCAAGAGCTTGTAACACTCCAAAGAGAAAGGAAAAATTGAAATCGCATCATATGACCCCTTTAATAATAATACAAAAAGAAATCAACCTTCAGCCTTGATTTTCCATTCAAAAAGCATCCTCACATTTTCCAATCAAATTCCAATTAAATCCTGTCCCACCCTACAATTTGTTCTTGCTGGATTTTCATTCAAGTTGTTAACGTTTCATTCAAAATACTTCACATTACAGAAGTCAAATTGTGAATGCCGTTTGATGCGAGTACCAGTGTGTGTGTGTAGTCGGTTTGTTGGACTCACTTGTGTCTGTGGTCTCATATTGAGAGTCTCTCTGCAGCTCAAAGATGTCGACCTCCACGCGGGCTCGTGCCGGGCCCTCCATCACACTGTTGATGTTCTCTCGGGCCAGAGCCAATGCCAACCGCTCTCCACGTCCACATGCTGACTGATCATCTAAAATAGCAGCTGAAGAGGAACAGAAAAAGCTCTGTGTTTTGATTCTGCTCTGGAATTTAATTGAGTTTTCTGATGCTAATGATTTAAGTTGCGTTTGTTATTGCAAAAAGATGGGAGTTACTCATCATGACTGTACAGAAACAAGTTTGCAACGAATGTTGCATGTTGTGATGTTAACTGATTAGATTGTGCTATTGAGCGTATTTAGTTTGGAGGCTTGCCAGAGATTAATTGATGCTTTATTGTTCGCAATAATCAAGACGAACAGGCTGATGCTTGAAGCAATCAGTTACATGCTGTGAAGCAACAGCCAAGTACATCACACTTTGAAAAAGGCTCCTGCTTGAATCCGATAATATTGTCTAATTTTGCCTGAACTCTGCTCTAAACGGATTCAAAACGGATTAATTTTATTTTTGATAAAAAAATTAAAAACAATTTAAGAAAAATGATCCTAACATACTTATCTGTGATTATCGCCTCACGCTCTCTGTTCTGCATAACAGGTGTTTAGTTGAAAAAGATTAAGCCTAGTAGGTCAGTACTTCAGAAGATGCGTTTAAACATTACATCAAGAACAAGCTTCGTAGTCACTATAAATGTGGACTTCACGTTGATGCTTGCTGCCTCCATTACAAGAAAAACATTGGGGTTATCAGGAGACCAATGCAACCGAAAAAAATAAAAAGTGTTTTATTTTTCAAATAGCCTCTGTAGATAAAGCTGGAAGAACTGAGGCAGAATTAGACCTCTTAATGGTTAGAAAGTGGACTAGGTTAGTGCCGCAGTTGCATAGGTAAAGGCCAGCAGTACTATTACTGTTACCCCTGACACTGACACCATTCCCATCACTTTTTCTGCTACAGACATGAATGATACCTCAAATTATGTGGCTTTTTGAGGAGGTTTTCCCATGATAAAACAGGCAAGATGATCCCATAGTTTTGACTTGGACCAGTAAAGCAACACCTAGAAACGGAGAGATGATGCGAAGATGCACTTTTGTGTGTATTCTAACAGGAAGTGGTGGACTCTCACCCATCCTGACGACTGCGAGAGCGGGCGCCTGGCTGTGAGAGGACGGGGCCATGGTCAGCAGAAGCAACAGCAGGAGGAGGACGAGGAGGTGAATCGACAGCAGCAGCGCTGACAGAGCCGGCATCTTCCACTGCTCCTCATGGAGAAAGGTCGTCTGGCTGCCTGCACCGCCACCTGGAGGGCAGGTACGAAATTATGCATGAGAAATCATCCACTGACATACAGAATTAAGAAAGAAACTAGGGATGCACGATATTAAAATTCTGTCCGATATCGACAAGCAGATAATCATTTTCATGTTATGGCCAGTAGCCAATAAATGGCTGAGATCAAAATTTGGTTATGCCTAAATATATAAAATTTTGTCTAAATAAAAATAAATTACAAATACAAAAAATATAAAATTGTCATGTTAAATGCTGCCAGTGAATTTGAAAAATTTAGATTTTTTTTTAAAGATTGTATTAACAGTGTTATTCATTTACAGTTTAACTGTTTTATTGATGCTTTTCAACAAGAGAGATAAAAAAGGGAAAAAGACAGTATCAGCATTTGTTTCGATGCATTAAAGTTACTGTATAGTTCACCAAAAAGGAAAATTTGATGATAATTCACTCACCCTCAGGCAATCCAAGATGTAGTAGTGAATTAACAGCAAATTTTCATTTTAGGGTGAACTATCCCTTTAACAGAGAAGATGAAGCAAGAAAAAAAATTTTTTTTCACGCTCTAAATGAGTCACAAAATACAATTATGTATAATTGCACCACGATTAAAAAAAAATACAAATATTTTAAAAAATAATACATATAGAAAAAATATATCGGAGATCGGCTGAATGGATTCGGAAACGGTAAAACTCAACTGTTTAACTGGGGAGTTTGGAAAATGAGCCTATTTTCAAAAATAGTGGAGTGTTCCTTTAACTATAAATGGGGGAAAAGAGCATGCATAATTACATATCCAATACAGACTTGTGCATCCCAAAACAAACATATGGCATGTTGAGAACAGCACCTTACATATAAATTTTTTGTATGCATGTGTTAAATGCCTGGATGACCGACTACATTATCCAAAATGTGCAGTATACATTTATAAATAAAATTAGATTTAAAAAAAACAACAACACACAACATAACATAATAAAATAAAAACAACCAAATGACAACCTAGATAACTAGATGCTAGAAGTTGAATTAAATATGCAACATTTTAATATTATTCATTGCAATCATGCAAAATAGTGAGGACATGTGAAAACAATGCTGCAAGATAGCACATTGAATAATGCATATTCAGCTCACAGTATATGATACACAACTTGCAGGAAGCAGTATGGTATTATTCCATTCCAGACATAGTCCTCGATTTTGTTTAACTTGGCTGTTGTCCACACCACTCTGTCCATGTGTTGCATCACCCACTTAAGCTATTAAAGGCTTCCTCGTTGACCATTTTGGTTCACAAGCAGCACAAACATGCCACTTTTAAACATAATACGCCTGTTTTTTCAATGCCCTTCACTAACACACATACAAACACAGGTATATATTCCCATCCACACATCGAGAAAGAAGATACCCACACACACAAGATGCCTGTTTCTTGTCCCAGTGCTATAATATGAGCCATACACAAGATGCTGTGGATGTGATGTGATAAAATATTCAGGACCATTGCAAAAGAGTACATTGCTGTTTATTAGCACCTGAAAACATATTTGCAGCAGTTGCGGTGACTAGCTGAGGTTGTTAAATGGAAACCGTAAACCACATTTTTAAAACCATGATGGATGATTCAGAATGGTCATTTTGACAGATAAAATATTAAGGTATCTGGTCTATTGTGTTTCTATACTTAACATTGATTCACATAGTAATTCTGGGATGCTATACAGTTGACTGACGAATAACATGAGCTTACAATGGGTGGTTTTCCAAAACTTTTCAGGCAAAGAGGAAAGTGTAGACATACGCAAGCATAAAAATCAACACAGACCTTTCAAATCAAATGTGTTCAGGTCACTGTAGACCTAAACAGGACTGATACAGGCCTAAATTATTGCTCCTACACTCTCAGAAAAAAAGGTACAAAAGTTGTCACTGGGGCGGTACCCTATCAAAAGGTACACTTTTGTACCTTTTAGGTACTAGTATGTACACTTTAGGTACTAGTATGTACCTTTAAGGTACCAATATGGACTCTTTAGGTACAAAGGTGTGCCTTTTGAAAAGATACCGCCCCAGTCACAACTTTTGTACCTTTTTTTCTGAGAGTGTAGCGCATTAATAAAATACCATGTGCGTGATATTTCACATATGCTGCTCACAGATAAAGCAATCTCAGAAGAGGTGCATGCATGGAAAAATGAGCACGTATACAAATGGAACAGTAAACAAATTACCAGGGAAATCAAAAATGTACAAAAATAGACCATGACAGAAATTTTACAACCCAGTCCGTCAAAGTGACGTATAATGATTGTTTGTAGCTCAACCTCGGCACAGGCCGCATGCTGCGATATAAAACAATTCACCACAAGAAAACCCACAACAGAATACAGAGAAGCCGAGAGAATTGAATGCAGCCAGAAGAAACAGACTCAGAAATGGCTTTGGGAGACAAAGAGGAGAGCGAGAAAGATTGAACGCTTGACGAATGCAGCATAATAGAGCCAAAAAGACTCCGGTCTGCTGTGTGTGTGTGTGCATGGGCCGCACAAAATAGAGACACAAGTCAACCTACAGATCAAGAGCCTCATCCCTAAAGCCGCCGTCAATCCTGGAGCTGCCTGTGTTTGAGTTTGTCAACAGCTTGATTTGTATTGGCCTTCCCCGGCTCCATGAAGTAAATGTTTATCTTTCCTGCCAATAAGGCCCTTTGAATGCATTCAAATTGAAGCCTGAATGGAACCAAAATGAAGTGAGCGAACCAAAAAGGGAGGAGAGGACAGAAGAAAGACAGCCGGGATGAGAAATAGCGTGGAGAGGAAGATGAAAGTAAACCGAAGGAGATAGTGAGAGGGGGAGAGTGTAGAAAGAAAAAGAAAGTATTAACACACACAAGTAAACACCACATGAGGTGACAGCATGCTGAATGGGCAGAAATTCAAGCTTGGCTGTTTCAGTTATTTAACTGTTAGCTTTCCCGTATGTCTGCATTGAATTTAACAGTCAGTGTAATTGCCTGCTGCCTCGACTAATCAATGGAGCTCTGCTTTCACTCTTTATGACAATATATAATGTGTTTAACACATCCTAAGGCTGATGCATGAACATTCACACCTTGCTAACCTTTACCAATCTCATCAGTGACCACCATCTTCTTGGCCCAGTGGCCTGTGTTTTTATTAAATTCTGAAGTATCACACAAGATGTTGTTCAAAATATCAACACGGCTGTTGATGCAAGCAATCTAATTGAAATAAAAATTCAGTAAAAATACACAAAAAAACCGCACGTCTCCGTCATTTTCTATCTCTCTCATGCTGCCACAACTGGAGCCTGCTTTTAGCAGGTGTGCTGCTGTCAACGCTGGTATTCGGCAGAGATGACTGTTTTCCACTAAAACTTTGATGCGGATTGTCTCAGTTTATTACGTTAACATAACATATGATGTGAACGCAAAACAATCAGGAAAAAGGCATTACATGCAAGTTTTTAAATCATAACATGTACATTTATATAGTCGCCAGTTGCAAAAACTTAACTCGCAAATTAATATTTTTGGTCGCAAATGCGACCGTTTTAGGCGTAGTCTGGAGCCCTGTGTAGTACATATGACTAGAAACAAATCCTGTTCTTAGATGGGTGGATGCTAAGCATCAGGCCAGTGATAAAGCATAAGCAATTCCATACATCTACTATTCTTGACCTTAAATAAAGTCATTTTAGTGCCGCCTCTAGATGCTTTGTTCAAAATGAAGAAGAATGCAAGGCTCTGCCCTTGCTTGGCTTTTGTTCGAAGGCAAACCTAAGACCGTGCTTTTAAGGCTTTTGGGAGTCTAAGTACCAAGAGGCTCAAACTAAATAAAACTACAAAAATTGTCAAGTATTGAAGAAGATATTATGAAAATCCTGTTCTTAGATGGGTGGATGCTAAGCATCAGGCCAGTGATAAAGCATAAGCAATTCCATACATCTACTATTCTTGACCTTAAATAAAGTCATTTTAGTGCCGCCTCTAGATGCTTTGTTCAAAATGAAGAAGAATGCAAGGCTCTGCCCTTGCTTGGCTTTTGTTCGAAGGCAAACCTAAGACCGTGCTTTTAAGGCTTTTGGGAGTCTAAGTACCAAGAGGCTCAAACTAAATAAAACTACAAAAATTGTCAAGTATTGAAGAAGACTAGACTGCGGAAAATATTCCAGGCAGTCACTGCTCCCATGCTGTCAAATCCAATATCCTAATTCTCACATTATACCTCAAATGCTGTCCTGCGGTTTCATTCGGATTTACTTTGGAACAGCCACTCCAAGCCAGCTGGCTGTGATCCTTCTCCACAGGCTGTTAGAAGAAGAAAAAAATGTTAAAACAGTGTTCCTAATATGCCTGTCACCCTGACTGTAATGCGTCTCTGTGTTTGGGACATTAACGTGGCTCATCCTGTGAGGTTGAGGCAAATAAAAAGGTTTGTTTGCCTCAGAGGCAGCGGTGGCATACTATAATGACGGGATAATCCTCTCATTTAGCCACAGACGGGATATCTTTCGCTCTCATTTTGTGATGGGTGAGGTGTGTGTATGTAACGGTGCATAATGCAGCAGCAGAATAAACATTAAAACACTAGCAAGATGAAGGGGAACAGCTTGGGATGATTGGACGTGTGACAAAAATAGACAGAAACACACAGTGTCATCTGGACAGAGGGGTTGGTTGCTTGTTGAGCGAAAGAGATGATATAAAAATATAAGCCTGAAGCTTTCAAGCTTCAAAAAATGCAAACCATTAAAGCAGTCCATACGAGTTGTGCACTATATGCCAAGTCTTCTGAAGCCGTATGAAGCTCATATGAGTAACAGATTGAAATGTTTACATGGTGACAGAATTTCTGGGTGAGCTATTTCTTTAAAAAAAA